AACATCCGTTAACTAAACATACCCCACATATCCGTTAACTGAACCTACCCGACACATCCGTTAACTGAACATACCCGACACATCCGTTAACTGAACATTTCCCACACATCCGTTTACTGAACCTATTCCAAACATCCGTTAACTGAACCAACCCCAAACATCCGTTAACTGAACATATCACACACTTCCGTTAACTCAACCTATCCCACACCTCCGTTAACTGAACCTATTCCAAATATCCGTTAACTGAACCTACCCCACACATCCGTTAACTGAACATATCCCACACATCCGTCAACTGAACATATCTCAAACATCCGTTAACTGTTCCTACCCCACACATCCGTTAACTGTACCTACCCCACACATCCGTTAACTGTACCTACCCCACACATCCGTTCACTCTACCTACCCCACACATCAATTAACTGAACCTATCCCACACATCCGTTAACTGAACTTACCCCACACATCCGTTAACTGTACCTACCCCAAACATCCGTTAACTGTACTTACCCCACACATCCGTTAACTGTACCTACCCCACACATCCGTTAACTATACCTACCCACACATCCGTTAACTGTACCTACCCCACACATCCGTTAACTGAACCTACCCCACACATCCGTTAACTGTACCTACCCCACACATCAATTAACTGTACCTACCCCACACATCAATTTACTGTACCTACCCCACACATTTATTAACTGAACCTACACACGCATCAATTAACTGTACCTACCCCACGCATCCGTTAACTGAACCTACCCCACACATCCGTTAACTGAATGAACCTACCCCACACATCAGTTAACTGTACCTACCCCAAATATCCATTAACTGTACCTACCCCAAAGACCCGTTAACTGTACCTACCCCACACATCCATTAACTGTACCTACCCCACAAATCCATTAACTGTACCTACCCCACACATCAATTAACTGTACCTACCCCACACATCCGTTAACTGTACCTCCCCCAAACGCCCGTTAACTGAACCTACCCCACACATCCGTTAAGTGTACCTACCCCACACATCCGTTAAATGTACCTACCCCAAACACCCGTTAACTGAACATACCCCACACATCCGTTAACTGTACCTACCCCACACATCCGTTAATTGTACGTACCCCAAACACACGTTAACACTATCTACCCCACACATTCGTTAACTGTACCTACCCCACACATCCATTAACTTTTCCTACATCACACATCCATTAACTGTACCTACCCCACACATCCATTAACTGTACCTACCCCAAAGACCCGTTAACTGTACCTACCCCACATATCCATTAACTGTACCTACCCCAAACATCCATTAACTGTACCTACCCCAAAGACCCGTTAACTGTACCTACCCCACATATCCATTAACTGTACCTACCCCACACACCCATTAACTGTACCTACCCCACACACCCGTTAACTGTACCTCCCCCACACATCCGTTAACTGAACCTACCCCACACATCCGTTAACTGAATGAACCTACCCCACATATCATTTAACTGTACCTACCCCACATATCCATTAACTGTACCTACCCCAAACACCCGTTAACTGTACCTACCCCACACATCCGTTGACTGTACCTACCCCACACATCCGTTAACTCTACCTACCCCACACATCAATTAACTGTACCTACCTCACACATCATTTAACTGTACCTACCCCACACATCAGTTAACTGTACCTACCCCAAACACCCGTTAACTGAACCTATCCCACACATCCGTTAACTGTACCTACCCCACACATCCGTTAACTGTACCTTCCCCAAACACCCGTTAACTATACCTACCCCAAACATCCGTTAACTGTACCTACCCCACACATCCGTTAACTGTACCTACCCCAAACACACGTTAACTGTACCTACCCCACACATCCGTTAACTGTACCTACCCCGCACATCCGTTAACTGTACCTTCCCCAAACACCCGTTAACTGTACCTACCCACATCATCCATTAACTGCACCTACCCCACTCATCCGTTAACTGTACCTACCCCACACACCCGTTAACTGTACCTACCCCACACATCCATTAACTGTACCTACCCCACACATCCATTAACTGAATGAACCTACCCCATACATCACTTAACTGTACCTACCCCAAACACCCGTTAACTGTACCTACCCCACATCATCCATTAACTGAACCTACCCCACTCATCCGTTAACTGTACCTACCCAAACACCCGTGAACTGGACCTACCCCACACATCCGTTAACTGTACCTATCCCACACTTCCGTTAACTGTACCTACCCCACACATCCGTTAACTGTACCTACCCCACACATCCGTTAAATGTACCTACCCCACACATCAATTAACTGTACCTACCCCACACATCAATTAACTGTACCTACCTCACACATCAATTAACTGTACCTACCCCACACATCCGTTAACTGTACCTACCCCAAACACCCGTTAACTGAACCTACCCCACACATCCGTTTACTGTACCTACCCCACACATCCGTTAACTGTACCTACCCCAAACAACCGTTAACTGTACCTACCCCACACATCCGTTAACTGTACCTATCCCACCCTTCCGTTAACTGTACCTCCCCCACACATCCGTTAACTGTACCTACCCCACACATCCATTAACTGTACCTACCCACACATCTATTAACTGTACCTACCCCACACATCCGTTAACTGAACCTTCCCCACACATCCGTTAACTGAATAAACTTACCCCACACATCAGTTAACTGTACCTACCCCACACATCAGTTAACTGTACCTACCCCACACATCCGTTAACTGCACCTACCCCACACATCCGTTAACTGAACCTACCCCACATATCCGTTAACTGTACCTACCCCACACGTCCGTTAACTGTACCTACCCCTCACATCCGTTAACTGTACCTACCCCACACGTCCGTTAACCGTACCTACCCCACACATCCGTTAACTGTACCTGCCCCACACATCCGTTAACTGTACCTACCCCACCCATCCGTTAACTGTACCTACCCCACACATCCCCTAACAGAACCTATCCCACACCTCCGTTAACTGAACCTATCCCACACATCCGTTAACTGAATCTACCCCACACATCCGTTAACTGAATCTACCCCACACATCCGTTAACTGTACCTACCCCAAGTTAACTGTACCTACCCCAAACACCCGTTAACTGTACCTACCCCACACATCCGTTAACTGAATCTATCCCACACATCCGTTAACTGTACCTACCCCACATATCCGTTAACTGTACCTACCCCAAACACCTGTTAACTGTACCTACCCCACACATCCGTTAACTGTACCTACCCCACATATCCGTTAACTATACCTACCCCAAACACCTGTTAACTGTACCTACCCCACACATCCGTTTACTGTACCTACCCCACACATCAATTAACTGTACCTACCTCACACATCATTTAACTGTACCTACCCCACACATTCGTTAACTGAATGAACCCACCCCACACATCAATTAACTGTACCTACCCCACACATCAATTAACTGTACCTACCCCACACATTCGTTAAATGTACCTACCCCACACATCAATTAACTATACCTCCCCCACACATCCGTTGACTGTACCTACTCCACACATCCGTTAACTGAATGAACCTAACCCACACATCCGTTAACTGTACCTACCCCACACATTCGTTAACTGAATGAACCCACCCCACACATCAATTAACTGTACCTACCCCACACATTCGTTAGCTGTACCTACCCCACACATCAATTAACTATACCTACCCCACACATCCGTTAACTGTACCTACCCCACACATTCGTTAACTGTACCTACCCCACACATTCGTTAACTGAATGAACCTACCCCACACATCAATTAACTGTACCTACCCCACACATTCGTTAACTGTACCTACCCCACACATCAATTAACTATACCTACCCCACACATCCGTTGACTGTACCTACTCCACACATCCGTTAACTGAATGAACCTAACCCACACATCCGTTAACTGTACCTACCCCACACTTCCGTTAAATGAACCTATCCCATTCATCCGTTAACTGTACCTACCCCACACATCCGTTAACTGAACCTATCCCAAACTTCCGTTTATTGAACCTATCACACACACCCGTTAACTGTACCTACTCCACACTTCCATTAACTGAATGAACCTACCCCATACATAACTTAACTGTACCTACCCCAAACACCCGTTAACTGTACCTACCCCACACATCCATTAACTGTCCCTACCCCACACATCCGTGAACTGCACCTACCCCTCACGTCCGTTAACTGTACTTACCCCACACATCAATTAACTGTACCTATCCCACACATCCGTGAACTATACCTACCCCACACATCAATTAACTGTACCTACCCCACACATCCGTTAACTGAACCTACCCCACACATCCGTTAACTGAATGAACCTACCCACACATCAGTTAACTGTACCTACCCCACACATCCATTAACTGTACCTACCCCACACATCCGTGAACTGCACCTACCCCACACGTCCGTTAACTGTACTTACCCCACACATCAATTAACTGTACCTACCCCACACATCCGTGAACTATACCTACCCCACACATCAATTAACTGTACCTACCCCACACATCAATTAACTGAATGAACCTACCCCACACATCAGTTAACTGTACCTACCCCACACATCAATTAACTGTACCTACCCCACACACCCGTTAACTGTACCTACCCCACACATCCGTTAACTGTACATACCCCACACATCCGTTAAGTGTACCTACCTCACACATCCGTTAACTGTACCTACCCCACACATCAATTAACTGTACCTACCCAACACATCAATTAACTGTACCTACCCCACACATCAATTAACTGAACCTACCCCACACATCAATTAACTGTACCTGCTCCACACATCAATTAACTGAACCTACCCCACACATCCGTTAACTGTACCTACCCCACACATCCGTTAACTGTACCTACCCCACACATCCTTTTAGCTCCGTCATAGTCCTGGTATGGATAGAACACGAACTTGTAGCACTTTGTGTCGTAGGCCACCCACGGTTCGGGACAATCTTTGAAAAATAAAATTAAAATAGTGACATACATGTAGTTATGACGCAGTACCCAGCTTTACGTAGTAGTGACTGTGACGTCACCATCAGCAACTTGAGGAAACATGTACGGATATGAATATGTTTAAGTATAGTTCACTTAATCGGCATGCATTAAAAATATAAACTTATACTACAGTGCAACTGTATAGTATTAAAGAAAATAGTTTATGTGTTATGATAAATAGGCAATACCACACATATACGTTCATCTGACGTCGCAGACTGTACGCATGATTTGCACGTATAGATATATTTTACTGGGGTTTAAGCTAGAGTTAACACACGAGAGCAATATTTGGTATTACTGCCATTATACTTACTATTGTTTTTAATATGCGTAGGATATTTTCTGCGTAACATAATTCATCATTACCTTTTTTTTTTACTTCCCGAAAACTTGAAACGAACAAGTATGGCGGGGCAAAATGACATCGAGGACATAAAAATGACGTCACGTTATCATAACGTTAAATTGTGCTGAAAAAATCGATTTGAACAGTGGATAACAACCGCGGTGTTCCAGCCAACATTAGTTTTAGTACTGGGGTAACACCACCCTTTGAAATACGGCTGATCTTGAATTACATGACATGAAATCTGACTGTATCACTACAGAATGATTTACTATATATGTTATAAATCTTCGCTAGCCATGGGTTACGATCCGGTACGATCCGGTACGATCCGGTCTACCTACTCTACACTTAGCTTGTTCGTAACAAAAAGGATGAGGAAGATGAGATGCATTGTTTTGCTACTTTGTCCAGCTTATTCGGAGTTAAGAAATACATATTTAAAACAATATTAGTATCGACATCCAAGTGTAAAAATGCCATAACATTAAGTAAACTAAGTAAATATTTATTGCAAGCAACAGCCAAAAAAAAACTCCTGATAGGGCAGTAAAATTAATATGTTAAATGTGTTAAAAGGAATTATCCCTCGCCATCTTATAAATTGTACTGTATTATGAACCGTGTGATGTAATTGTATAACCTATATGCGGTATTGCATTTGGTAAATAAAATAATTGAAACTTGGAAGCGTAACCCTTGGCTTAAGAAGATGTCAGTATATACGAAGACAACCGATGTATCTTGTACAGACAACATTCATCTCCCTAAGGTTACCCCTAGGAAATATGTGTGACTCTGTATTACCAGAGAACAATGGGAAGTAAGTCAATTGGCCGGGCTGGACGATATTTACTGTAGTATGACAGGATTTTAAGTGTTTCAAGTACACTGAGGTGATGTCAACAAGCACCCTCCCGTCTCTGAAGTGGATAAGATATGGTTTATTGCAGTAGGGTTTATTTATATTTCGCACAAACCTAGACGAGCACGTGACATCACATGGGCTATAGCCTTGTATGATCTGCACAATAAATGTAGTACTTTGCGACTGACAATTTTGTGTGCATGTGATGATACTTTGTCGGGTCTATCAATCTGTTCCATTTCTTTATAGACTTATAAAATCGGTGTAATAGTTAGTTTGGTTCGATCGACTTTCTTCTTATCAAAATCAATTTGTCAGCACTGTCAACTATTGTCTTCATAAAACGGCATTTAGTGTCCCTATCACCCCCACACTGTTTCTGAGGGGTTCTCTCTTATTGTCAGCACTGCCAACTTAACGTGTATATACATATGACATTTTTGGCTTTCACAAATTGTTTCTATTTTTAGCACACGTATGCATGACGACAATTTCATTTAATCTCAAGATCAGGACAAACTTCCAAGAATCCGGCAACATAATGATATAGGTAAAATGTTTGTTTAACACATACTAACAGAGACGTATATATATGTCCCATACCAATGATCATATCTCAGTTCTTAGTCATTTCTGCAGGGCGATTGATACTCTTTTAAAAGAATCCTTGTGATAGCTATCGACTCGACGTCGCTAGCGCATGCGCGCCCGAGCCAAAATCCTTAAGCCATGTTTTTGATATGCAGGCGGCATATTGAACTTTCTTATCATAGCGCGTACGGTACATATCTAGCCGTTAAACTGTAGTTTTTTTCTATATCTCCAGATCATCGGTACTCATCGCGTCCTTGCCCGATACAGGAAATATTCTGCACATGTACATTGCGTAATATGGGAACGTTGTGTAGATTTACGTTCTCACCCTGACATGAGTCAGACAGGGTAAATCAAATACACTGACTCATCGTCATGCATTCAACATTTTAGTTTGTTATTATAGAGGCCCATGTGTGACAATATGTCCTTTCCCTTTGTAGCTCACGATAAGTCGCTAATCGGCAAAGCGAAATAACAAAGGCCGAATAACAATCCGCCTATAAAAAAAAACACCCGCCTGCAGCACGTAAAGGAGAAATTACGCCGAAGCGAAATAACGAAAAACCGTGTATAGAATTTATAGATGACAAAACGTCATACCCTGTACATTAGATAGACGCCATAGAGCAGAAACAAAGTGGCATGTTTCCACTATTAGGAATTATGTCGTTATTTCCCTTTGTTTGATATTTTTTTGTTTGTTTTTGTTTTCGCGGGGAACACATCGAATGGACAAATTGTCATAAATGAGCTTCCATACTTTTCAAGTACTCAAGCATCAATTTTGTGCTCCAACCATCTTGATTGGAACTCGCTAAAACCTTACGACACAGTAAAACATGTTAGAGATTAATAAAACCTGTATTCGGCTTTAAGTCTCTCCTAATCGATGAAAAACAAATCCAGTTGGATTAAGAATAAGAGTTTAAGCATGAACATTTGTATATAAATACCGACCCTATAATATTTAGTATGTAGCGCTATCCTATTGGTTGTCTAGAAGAATCACCTAAATAAATCCCCGTATCACTGCCAAAACTTGAACTACATTGTAAATATATTGGAAATTGTTTTATCCGACATCAATTTAGCTTTCATAAATAATTTCTGAAAACAAATTCATACCTTGCTGGACTTTCTTGAGAAATAATAGAGATAAAATAAACAAAATATCATCAGCGACAGTGTTCAAAGTGAAAAAGTGCAGTGGGTCTATACTGGGTCAATGGAAATATCCTGACCAAACAGTGCTACATTTATATCCAAGCGATGCTAAGGGGACGGGGTCGCAAGGATTTAAAGAGGTTCAATAAAGATGGTTGGAGCACAAAATTAATGCTAGAGCATTTAAAACTTTCAATAAAGTATGGAGGTTCATTTATGACATTTTGCCTTTCGATGTATATTGGGAAAAAGCCCAGTGCAGTCGGATAGGAATCTTTAAACGCTCTTTAATTAGGAACGGTGATAGTGGTACAGAGTATATTCTGTCATTGGGCATTTTTATAAAGATGTCAATTTAAATATTTAGTGAATCCGAAAATATTTTGGTACATACGAGGTTATACCGAGGGAGGTAGTACTGCAGTTACACTCCGGACTAACGAGTTTTTACTGAGGTAGGTGGTTCAGTGATACTCCGGACTAACAAGGTTATACCGAGGGAGGTGGTACAGTGATACTCCGGAATAATGAGGTTATACCGAGGGAAGTAGTACAGTGATTCTCCGGACTAACGAGGTTATACTTAAGGAGGCGATACAGTGATACTCCGGACTAACAAGTTTATGCTGAGGGAGGTGGTTCAGTGACACTCCGGACTAACAAGTTTATACTGAGGGAGGTGGTTCAGTGATACTCCGGACTAACAAGTTTATACTGAGGGAGGTGGTACAGTGATTCTCCGGACTAACAAGTTTATACTGAGGGAGGTGGTACAGTCATGATCCGGACTAACGGGGTTATACTGAGGGAGTCGGTACAGTGATACTCCGGACTAACGAGGTTATACTGAGGGAAGTAGTACAGTGATTCTCCGGACTAACGAGGTTATACTTAAGGAGGCGATACAGTGATACTCCGGACTTACAAGTTTATACCGAGGGAGGTGGTACAGTCATGATCCGGACTAACGGGGTTATACTGAGGGAGTCGGTACAGTGATACTCCGGACTAACGAGGTTATACTGAGGGAAGTAGTACAGTGATTCTCCGGACTAACGAGGTTATACTTAAGGAGGCGATACAGTGATACTCCGGACTAACAAGTTTATACTGAGGGAGGTGGTTCAGTGATACTCCGGACTAACGAGGTTATACTGAGGGAGGTGGTTCAGTGATACTCCGGACTAACAAGTTCATACTGAGGGAGGTGGTACCGTGATACTCCGGACTAACGGGGTTATACTGAGGGAGGTGGTCCAGTGATACTCCGGACTAACTAGGTTATACTGAGGGAGGTGCTACAGTGATACTCCGGACTACCGAGGTTATACTGAGGGAGTTGGTACAGTGATACTCTGGACTAACGAGGATATACCGATAGAGGTGGTTCAGCGATACTCCTAACTAACAAGTTTATACTGAGGTAGGGGGTACAGTGATACTCCGGACTAACGAGGTTATACTGAGGGAGGTGGTACAGTGATACTCCAGACTAACAAGATTATACTGAGGGAGGTGGTACAGTGATACTCCGGACTAACGAGGTTATACTGAGGGAGGTGGTACCGTGTTACTCCGGACTAACGATCCTATACTGAGGTAGGTGGTACAGTGATACTCCGGACTAACGAGTTTTTACTGAGTGAGGTGATACAGTGTTACTCTGGACTAACAAGGTTATCCTGAGGGAGGGGCACTCTTATACTCCGGACTAACGAGTTTTTACTGAGTGAGGTGATACAGTAATACTCCGGACTAACGAGGTTATACTGAGGGAGGTGGTACCGTGTTACTCCGGACTAACGAACCTATACTGAGGTAGGTGGTACAGTGATACTCCGGACTAACGAGTTTTTACTGAGTGAGGTGATACAGTGTTACTCTGGACTAACGAGGTTATACTGAGGGAGGTGGTACAGTGTTACTCTGGACTAACGAGTTTTTACTGAGTGAGGTGATACAGTAATACTCCGGACTAACGAGGTTATACTGAGGGAGGTGGTACCGTGTTACTCCGGACTAACGAACCTATACTGAGGTAGGTGGTACAGTGATACTCCGGACTAACGAGTTTTTACTGAGTGAGGTGATACAGTGTTACTCTGGACTAACAAGTTTATACTGAGGGAGGGGCACTCTTATACTCCGTACTAACGAGATTGTACTTATGGTGGCGGTATAGTGCTACTCCTGACTAACGAGGTGATACATGTACTGCAGGAGGTTATACACTGATAGTTAGGACTATCGAGTCTTTAAATTAGAGTGATACCAAATGATACATACAGCGATATTCCTGAGTCGACAGCTGCAGCAGGCAACTCAAAACGAGGCTCGCAAGGAACATGGCCAGTCAGCATCCGAATCCGTCCTCTACAAGAAATTTACGATCAGTCAGCTCTCATCTTGATGTGATTAATGGTTCTTTAGCACAAATTTTCAAAACATGATTTTTCACTTTTTACCCAAAAATACTCAATTTCACTCAAATATACCCATATGCTGTGTATGCAGTTTGTATATTCATTTTTGTTAAACATATCTTTATCTATATCCTCAAAAATTACCAATGACATTTTCATTTGCCAAACTTTATTCAAATATAGTTTATTACCAAAAGTGAATATGCTTCTTTTTCATATAAATATTTCAAATTTCAAACTTAAACCTTAACAATGCAAATCATTATGTTTGTGTGGATTTTTTAAATTTAATTTTCCGTTTTTAAAATCTGGATTTAGATGTCGTTAAATAACCGAGCATCGAACAGCTGGACTCTTATCTTAAAGATTTAAATATCTGACTTTTACCCGGCGACAAATGACAAAATCCGACCCAGACATAAGTAGACGTGTATTCTAAATATGAACAGATGTACATTGCATTTCCTCTCAAATGGCGTGTACACTTTACTTACATTCAGATTATGCTTTTTACAAAGGTTTTCAATATTATTGTAGCAATGATTTTTCATTTGTAAGGTAGCTGAATAAGGACATCCAAATAATCATTTTTATTTCGTTATATGTCCACTTGTTACCTCGTTATAACGAGTTAGTTTTTCGTTAAAACGAGTTAGTATCTCGTTATAACAACTACGTATCCGCTTATAACGAGTTAGTATTTCGTTATAACAACTTAGTATCTCGTTATAACGAGTTAGTATCTCGTTAATACAACTACGTATCCGCTTATAACGAGTTAGTATTTCGTTATAACAACTTAGTATCTCGTTATAACGAGTTAGTATCTCGTTATTACAACTAAGTATCCGCTTATAACGAGTTAGTATTTCGTTATAACAACTTAGTATCTCGTTATGATGAGTTAATATGTTGTTATAACGAGTTAGTATCTCGTTATTACAACTAAGTATCTCGTTATAACGAATTCTTATCTCAAATTGTGAATTGTATTTGATTACCCTTAATCAGCCACTCGATATAAACTTATGGTCGTTTTGGGTAAAATTGAGTAGAATCGTCAAGAAGGTTAAAATGCGGATAAACGCATCGAAGTTATACACAATTGTCTGTTGTATAGTTGAATGACTAGGATTTTATTTTAAAAATATGGCATGATGGTACCAAGGAATGTAAAGGCAAAACAAAAACAAAAAAAAAGATATTTTTGGCACACTTAGGCTAATATAGAACCAGGTCACAGTGACCCAATTTCAAGTATGTTCAAGTAATCATGTAGATCTACTATAATATAAAACTTAGTCTTGCATATTAAATAAAAAATCATTAAGAAACTTTTAACAAAGAATATGGAGATTTGTAAAAATGGGTCTATTAGTGAATTTGCTCTAATCAACTTTGAAATCTTTGGGTTCCGATCGCGCATCACATACAAATGTATCTTGTTTACAGGATTTGCGTAGCAAAAACGGAATCCATGGTTTTCGAGATGGTTAGAGAGACCAATATGGTCCTAAAGATAACTCCTCTCTGCCAATGGTGATAAATGTATTTTTGGCGATACAAACGACACATTTCGTTCTACGAATGCAAGACAAGATTTAATATAAAAATGACAAAATTCAGATTTCCAAACCCCAACTTTCTCTATGCATTTGACTTTATATAATATGTTGTAATTTTGTTTCACTGTGTCCTGATCGATGAGTAAAGTCCAAAGTGTCTACTCTGTGTCCAAGAGAGCGGACGTATGCGAAACTTCAAGCCATACTAATACAAAAAAGAAACAATCGAAATATCTGGTTTTAAAATTATAAAATGAATACTTACCTCTGTATGCAGATATTCTTGTCCTGTTTGAATGTATTCGTTTATTTCAATGTTTGCTAATGGCGGACGACGGGTCATCTCACCAGCCGGAAATAGCAGCATTTCTGTATTTTATTGTTTTATAGTGTAATAAATGGCAAACGACAGTTGCGTTTCGCTAGTTTATGACGTACTCGATAAATGATCGGGGAGCGTGTTCGCGAGCACTTTTATTGTTGAGATTTACAAGCGAAATGAAAAATATTTCAGAAATAATCAACAAATGGACGTATAACATTGTGTAAACGAGACATACGGATTTAAGTCATAGCCTTAACCTTGTATGGAGACAGTAATCGAATTGAGAAAAATATTTTACAAACATTTTTGATCCCCTCGTACAATTATCAATATCAGAGAAACAAACTTAAACGCAAAAGCTTAATGTTGATGGAGATGCTGACAAAGTCAATGGACCATGAAAGGTTGAGGCCGCACCCAGCATTTGATGCATGGATTGATATATACTGCCTAAGATGCATCTATGGTCCGAGTTTGGTTGGTCTAACACTTATTCTTTCATTGAAACTAAGTTAAACGCAATACTTTAATGGTGACGCCGCCGTCGCCGGAAAAGCAACACCTTAGTTCTAGCTTCCGCTACTTTGTCGCGGCGAGACTTTACTTTATCATGCAACGTGTCCTCACTGCGTTATGTAGAGACAGTATAGACATGTACCAAATCAAGGATCCCTGCCGCACTGTTTCATTGTTATCGTGCGTAGAGTAATCTCCCCTTAAAATTATTTTGGCTGTTACTCCATCGTAACTGAGCTAGGGTAAGATCGTTGACCAAGTCGCTCAGTTGGTTAGAGCGATAGTATCATGGTCAGAAGTCCAGGGTTCGAATCTTTGTTTGGTGGCCCCGTTGCAGGTGTTCACTCTGAACACTATTACCAACTTTTGTTGTTTAGTATATAAACTTTATTTGTCTCACAAAAAAATATGAAACAAGTTATTACAACTTACATCAATCACTCTCGGGTGTAAGTGCGCGGGGATCTTAATGCGGGAGGAAACCGGAGTACTTGGATAAAATTCACGTGGTCGAGCAGGCGGCCCCATATATCTTTTCACGCCCGATCTAGGAAACAATTTTCCAATATTACAGAATGGACATAATTGTTTTTTTATATGATAATATTTTATGTCAACTTAATTTAACATAGAAAATGAAAGCCGTACTTCCCTTCTTCCATATATCTTAGACGTGTCCTTAAAAACTGTTATAAACCGAGAAAATTGACCAAAAAGGTCTCCATCTGTTTTTCCCAATACAGTGTTCATTGGTGTGGTTTTATCTGATCACCTGGACTTTCGAAACGACATAACTTAGTGGTTGAAGGGCTCTACTGTGTAACTGGAACATAAAACCTGTCAAAATCACGTTATCTAAATCTTTCCTCGGCAATACTTTGGTGCCACAATACATTACGTGTGTCGCGTTTTCTTATCAATGTTTGAACAGCTCGCCGCTTAAAAAAAACAGGCTAAGTTCACTTTGGTAAATTTATATAGGGCAAAGTCAGATTTACAAGAGGGTCGGTATTTGTCTTCATCAAATGGACATCGATCTTTTTTCTTTCGTTTATATCGAAGCAACGACACAGGCAAGTATCGACAGCATGATGAATTTATTATAAGTTACAGCAGGTTGGGTTTTGATTTTGAACAGACATTATCTTCTATAAAAGAAAAATCCATTAAGAAACACATAAAACGCGGATATTTTTGTGTCGTACGTATTGTACTTCTATGAACCTGGTAGCACAGTTGCTTAGCGGATGATATAATGATCTGAGGTCCAGCTCGTAATGATATATCGCTGCGCCACCTATCAATCATGGACGGTTTTACTGTGATACACTGAACCTTTAAAATCAATTTCAAAACATTTAATATAAGAAATATTATGTCATTGAGTGAAAAGTCTCGAGATTTACACGACACAGTCAAGTTTTCCTGATATGAAGGCTATTGAGATAGGACTGTGTAGTTCGGTTTTGTAACTTCCTGTTCATGTTTAAAAAGCCGGAAACGAGTAGGCTGACATTAACTGTAGGGGAATATCCTCGGAAGGTCACGTGTGTTGGCCTTTCCATTCCGGTTTTGACAGAAAAACACTAACAAAATGTTGTGTTTCTATATTCAGAGCTCTATCCACTGCTGATCTTCACAGTGAACTTATATTAGAGCCCTGTATAGTGCAATATCTTACTATTGACGAAAGTCGCCGAGGATTAATTTAAAGAAGAAAGTCGCTACGACCTGTAACGTAAGTATCCAACAAACAATGTACCCATCATGGTATTATATATTTTTTTGAATTTTATCATTTCAGTAATTGCTGCTAACAAACCGTTAAATATATACCATATATAAGATATGTTTGCGCTTAACACGGAACAACTACGATGACACGGAACAAAATATTGCTTCTTTATGGGGAGACAGTATCGTAGAGATAAGTACGCGAAAATTCTATCTCAGAAATTTGATTTTAAACAAGTTTGACGTTTTGCACCACTTGTACAATGTAAATATATATTGTAACTTTATCAAATGCCTTCCCATGGTAGAAATATTAAACCTGAGGTGCTCATAGTTTACCATGGGTTATTTTGCACAACGCCGAATAAATGCATTGTATACTCAGCAATTAGATCAAACAATTAAATATATATACATGTAGATAGTAAAGAAATTGTTTTTTTTTGCGAAAGAAAATATGAAATAAAACTACAAATACACAAGATAGACTTTCTGCCTTCTTGGGCTTCCTCAGGCCCAATAAGGCAGAAAAGCCTAGCGGTCAGTCTTGTGTAATTATTGTTGTATTATCTAAAGTCCTTGTGACGGCTAAATGTAAAAGAAATAATAAACGAGTTTCTAAGTACTTCCCTAATATTTCACCCTGTTAGAGGTTCATCGCGGGGAATGTATATTTATATATAGAATTATACCTTAATGACTCAATTCGAATTTGGCTGGCGGGATAATAAGTTCAAATCAAGTTTTGCCAAAAAAAAACATTTGCTAGTCTCGACTAGAACCGGTTCTTTTCTGTGTATTTGTTTTATAATACTCGGGCAAAAATCTGTTCCAAATCGTTCGCATAGTGAAGAGAAATCTCCTTGCCATTTTGACAGCTAGACATGACAGTAAACAACAAGGCAAGTCGTGGACAGTTTGACGCTTGACACCAACGTCTTTTTGTAAGTGGTCATGTGACCGCGCGATTGAAAGCCACATGGCACATTGTCATTTATCAGTGGATTACTACGTTTCTGAGAACAAATGTTCCGATCGTTTATAGTTAAATTGGAAAAAAAAGACAGTGTGTTATACGTAGATATGTTAAATAACAACTATGCATTAAGTGATTATATATTTCTTTGTAACATTTTTTAAACATTTTGAATGCACAATGAACGTACTTGATAACTGGCCATTGGGCTGTGCAAGGTGAAAAATGGGGGACGCTGGTGAGGGGTTGGGTAATTTTAAAGGAAATATCCTTAATTAATTTTAATGTATCGACTCGGTAGTATTTCTGATCGAGAATAATTTAATGAATTATTAGATAATGAGCTTTGTTTCCTTTCCAAAGGCAACATTGTTAGCATTAAAATACGTTCTGGTCAAATGTAATTGGATTTAGAGGTGAAAAGTTCCTGAAAAATATATGGACATAAATTCCTAAATTTAACCTGTGACTTCAAACTTCCTTTTCAAGACGACAAAATAATATTAGTTACACGGATTTTTGGCAGGGTATACGGGATGGTATGACCCTACAGGATTTCGTATTTCCTTCGGCCGGAATTTATTACCCCTTTGAGTCTTTTATATTGGTTTTGTACGGTTCTCCGTCAACTTTTCTGTTGTCAAGATAAAAATGGCTCAGTACCTCATTTAGTTTCGTTTTATCAAATTTCTCGAACTGTTCTTCCTGATTCTTTTCTTTCAATTACGTCCTCAGCATGTTTGCCACTCGTCTGTTCGACTTTTGTATGTTTTGTGGCACATAGTTTGCCCTTTTGGCGAGTATTTCCTCATCAGTATGCGAAGCGAAACGTTTTGCCATTTTGTAAACAGCGAAGCAGACGACGAATGCGAGTTGTCTCCCGATGCCCGGTCGCAAGATACAAAGACACGTGACCCGTATACCCTCGTAAAACCACGTGATTCCACCGTATTACTGCTGAGAATCACGTGACATGACCGTATACCCCTTGAGATTTCCGTATACCCCCTGAGATTCACGAATGCGGTTTGGTACACTGTAGTTTTTAACCAATCAGATTCCTAGATTTTTCTCAAAGGGGTTATAAGAGATCTTATCACCTGTATCCAAATTTATGCAGGAGTAATTTATTTAATATCCCTAACAGTGCAACATTTATTATGTGATTATTATTGCATTTGAGTAGTATCTAGTATTTATCCTGTTCGTATTCTGTTCGCCGCTTTGTCCATGTAATCTGGTTTATTGTTTCTGTATGTAGTAGTCGTTCCGTCTCGAACAGGAGAAGGTCAATCTGAAAAATCGAGAAAATATATTTATTTGCATATATATTATGTATACTATGGAGAGAATCGATGAATCATAGTGCACTAGAGTTGGTTTCCCTATGCTATCAAACGTGAACAAACTCTACGCCCTCAAGCTCTGACTAAAGACTCACTATTGCAACCTCACAGATCAGCAGCCCCGTAAACTATCATTATCGCATCATTTTGTTATGAAGTGCTTTTTGATTTCTTTATGATTACAATACAACATTTTCATATTCATAACTACACTTCATGAGGAAATCAATGTCTGACGTATAAATGTACCAGCTAGTTATCTGTTATTCCGACCTCTCTACAATACAATCAGAAATCAGCAACCTTTATTAAACTGTCAATAGGTATGCTGTCATGGTTACCAACAGATATTTTCAGAAACTTATATTTTACTGGTTTCATCGTCTCCCTTTACAGGACAAAGGAGAAATATTGGTTGCTTTATATTTTTCTTGCATCATGCCGCTAGATTCAATTTTGAAAAAACAGTTGCCAACCACATCCATGATTTTAAAGTGACTAGCAGAATGAATATAGCCTTATTTTGTTGACGGGTCATTCCGCGTCAAATAGCTTGTCTTACAGGCTTTTGTCAGACAAACATCGACTCTCATAGATATGGGAAATTGCTTCAGTATTTTAGAGAGTTTTTGTAAGATTATGACATTGAAAATATCCCGTATTTATCCGAGTTGAGTGGAGTTATCTGCGGTCAAGATGGTTTGGTTTGGTTTAGCATTGTTTAAAGTCATATCAACAGCTATGGTCATTCAAGGAGGGCCTCCCCTGTGTGCAAGATACATGCGTGTAGTGTATGCGTGTGTGTTTTGGGAGACTGAGCTATGTTCTTGTTTGTCTCGTTGTGATAGCGCAGAACTGATGCCGACTTTATGGTGCTACCTCACTGAAACATACTGCCGAAGACAACCCGGTCACATTATACTCACAACGGGCGAACCAGTCGTCCCACTCTGGTATGTCTCGGCCAGGGGACAGAACTCAAAGCCTTCCTCACAGGGGAGAATGCTCAACTAAAGGCCAAAAGTGAGGCATTGTCAAGGGAGACATGAGGATGAAGAGAGTTGTTTAGAAGAGAAGAGGAAGAGAAGAGAATAATGAACATAACATTTTGCTAAATGTATGTTTTGTAAAATCCCACTTTACATCCGTAAGGGAATGTCCTTTTAATGTGAACAAGTAGCCGGAAATGTTTTTGGCACGTTCCGAGAGCAGTTGTAGATCTATCAAAAGGCGTAATTCGTCAAACGACGTTGTCTCGATTACATTCTTGGCGGAGAGTAGATACGAAAGTCAGAAATTGCACGGTTTCCACCACAAAACACCATTTTGTGGGTACATGAATTCGTGGATTACGAGTACCCACTCAAACTGGTAATTGCTTTATACAGCTGTATCAAACTTGTAATTACTTCGTGGGCCTAAGAATTCGTGGTTGAAGGTTACTCGCGAAATCAACGAAATTCAAAACAGCACCGAAAATTAGTGATTACACAGTAAGTTATATGGAACATTCATACACCAGGTAAGATTTCTTGAACAATTTTATGGCTTTTGTTATCAAAATACAAAAACATTAATTAATTGTTTCTTACATGTTCCTTGCTGTTCTATACTCTTTTATCATGTCTATGAGAAAGATGGCAAATTTTGATTATCATTTCGAGGGTGTAGCCGAGAAAAATTTGCTCAGGTAAAGAATCTGACAAACATACCATCACCCATCTTTGGTTTGTGAATCTCAAGTCTTTAAAGTGCTGTCTGATCTACATGTAATTATCAAAGTATTTTGGACCGCTTCAAGTGTCATCTTTCTCTTTCATCTATTTGTTTCCGGGCTTCATTCTTTAAATTTCTTCTAATTGCATCATGACTTTACTGCTAGTTACAAATCGGACGTAATCGCATGAGTCCTCATCCAAAACTTCCAGACCGGTTGATGTTTTCGACACAACAAAGAATTCCCTAGAGTTTGTATAGCGTATCACATACATCTCTTAATTCATATAAGGAACGTTTTTATAGAAGTAAAATAAAATATGTGCTTAATATGAAACGGACACTGATTGGGAAAATGGAGCACTCAAACATCGATATATTCTTTATGCACGCACGCTATATACATTATACCTCATGTGTGTGGGCAAAGAAGTAATAAGGACATTTTAGGGGTATTCGTCCCTTTATCAAGACAGGAACATGGAAACAATGATAAGTAATAAGTAAACAGAAGTTACTAATATAACAATACGCTTTTGTAATTGCATATCCACTCGGTAAGTAGGTAACCGAGGGCTAATTGTAGTAAATAATTATTTTTGAATACGTGAGGTCAAGTGAATTAATACTAAAAATCTGAAAAATTAAACTAAAAGTTCTGAAAAAAATCAAATCACATGCATACATAATTATACTGGACACAGTACAATTACAACAGGTAGTTCAAGTGAATAAATACTAAAATTCTGAAAGATTAATTTTATTTTATTTTATTTGACACAGTACATATACGACAGATAGTTCATATCTTCAACCTTCGGATCAACATAGTGACTACGATACATTGTTCGGATCAACATACAGAAGTGACTACGATACATTGTTCGGATCAACATAGTAGTGACTACGATACATTGTTCGCATCAACATACAGTAGTGACTACGATACATTGTGTTTATTTTTTACAATTAGTATTCATTCGTTTGGTAAATAAATAGCTTCCTGTTTGATCTCACTGATGGTTGCACAATCGGCAATGTGTATCATATCATACAGGGATGTAGTATGTGTATGTGTCATGCCCTTAACGGAGTGAATTTTCCATGTTGGCAATTATCCAGGTTTTTTAAATTTCTTTTTTCTATATATATATAAAAAAAAGAAAAGTTCACTTTTAAATTATCACTTTTTAATATCGCTGTCGTCACGAGATACAAAGTGTGACGAGCATCTTTTCATATCAATATAAATGTAATGACCATTGCCAGATTGGCTTAAAAAACCTAGATTGAATATAATTTATTCATCGTCAAGAGATCGATAATCAGGTGTGTATTGACGTAAACATATACAGCAAAACGTACTTAAAATCAAGTAACAGTTTAGGATCAATCACTTCTATTTTAAACATGTGAGGTAATATATGTAAATAATGGTGTAGCAAAACTCATTTCATCAACAGGAAACCTATGAAATGTCAGCTTCTTGCTGACCCGACCTTTCTTTATCTATCGATAATTCTCTGATCAAAACCAGCAAACAATCTTTACACATTTGATGATATTTTTTCTTTCATGTTTTTGAGCAGTGTATTTATACAAATTTTAAAATTATTTGTCACTTTCAAGCTATTTTTAAAGCCACTTAACATAGGTGTGGTTTGTATATGCATGTTAAAAACACTTGTACTGATACCTCACGAGATGTGCCCTAACTCCACCATTGACCGGACGGCAATAACGACTTGATTTGATACAGTATGGGTAATCTGACCAAACGTTATAAAAATGTCATTATGCATTGCTGATAATGTACAAGGTGTATAATCTCGACCGGTGTGTATTACCTGTGAGAGGAACTGTCTCGTTTACATTGCATTGTTTAATAATTCGTGACAAGATTGCATTTGTAAGATTACATCACACTTTCACTGTATTTAATTAACATCCTCTCAGTTCATTGAGTTCAACATAGCATGTAATTAATCAACACAGAACAGGAAGTAAATTCGTCAAATCTCCTTATACATTAGTATACGTCTATTGAGGGAACAGGTTTTACTTCCACAATAGCATAGGTATTACAGTTCACATTTTTGGAAGGATGTGGACACCAAGAAACTTACTAGGTGAACATATATTCATTACAAAGGTATCTATACCAGGTAAGATATCTAAAACATCCTATTTCAGCTTTTGTTGCAAATGTAGGCAAGTATGAATTGAAATTTCTGTTTTCATTTTTATTTAGCACTTTTTGTATGGTTGGGTATCCGTGTAGGAATGTTTACTTATATATTATCAAACAGCTTCCTGTTATGTGTATATAAACAACTCACAATTACCGATATTTTCTGGTATAAAATATTTATGTACTTTAGTATACTATTGGTATTTAGTCATTCAAATTCGATTTCTTTTATTTTTAAGTATGTTTACAAATAACATTTAAATACAGTGGCAGACACTGCAATACTTCACTCGAAAATGGACAAAATATGCAAGATAGTTACATACCTGAGACATTACCTGAGAAAACATTGCATCATAGTCTTAATCTTTGTTGATTGGCGTGGTATATATATTAACGTACCATAGTTAATTCCGTTGAAGTAGTTGTACACGATAATTGTATTAATTTGAAGACAGATTTTTTAGGTTAACATTTTATACATAGATATCTTAATCATTCGTAAATCGGACACATTAACAAGAAATGATATTCATCTTCTACATCTCCAGAGTTACAAACTCTGCAAAAACGTTCATGTCTATCACTATTTTGATACCGCCCTGTTTCAGTATACAGGGTATGTGCTGATAAACGTATTCTAGTCAGTGCCATTATGTTTCGCTTTGGGATGCTTTTACATAGAAAAAAACTTGGACACACTCATTGTGATTTAATATAGCAAACTGGTTCGTTATTCCAATCTTATCCACCAATTCCTTCAATGTAAGTAACGATCTTATTACGGATTTTACAAGTTATCGTTTCAACATACATATATGTAAGAAATTGAACATTTTCATTTCTGCGTAATGAACCGGGAATTCAGAAATCATACATGATTGTATTAACAAACAGCAGTGCATTAAAGGCAGGTATGCATTGTGAATGAACTTGTTTACACATGCAGTACATGAAAGTACATATAATTTCCCTTCGACGAACTTTTGGGTCTGTTACCTTAACGCACATTAAATTAAAAACAACAATGATGATGATGCGTTTTATCCTGATGTGTGACGAAAACGAGACTGGGGCCAAGGTTACCAATGTCAATCTTTTGAAATACGACTCAAACGTGACAAACACGGGAAATATCAGACACTGATATTGTTCCAAGAATAATCAAAGTTTCCGAAAGTGAGGAAGGGAAGGAGGACATAAAGTAATAAAAAAAATTGTTAACAGGATATGAAATTATCAGTGTATCTCGAGCGAATGATATTATCACATAACGGTGCCGTTTTAGTGAGGTTGATACGAACCATACGATAATCCATTTGATGTATTGGTTCAGTCAAACCTAGGTCGGTTCAGCCGCATTCATTATCAGGACGTTAAAATATGATAAAGTTGATTTGATTGAATTTTTGTTGATGCAGTTAGGTTCGTACATGTACGCATTGATACCATACATTTACCGCATTACACTATTTACCAATACACTAAATAATGATAATTATCTTGTTTTCTTTCAGACCTTCATGATGAGTTTAAGATTTTGCGTCATCCATCTGACCATCATCCACCTTGTATGCTGCACACCTTGTAGTATATCTAGGGATGGAAGGACAGCAGATTGTTCCCATCGACACTTAAACCAAATTCCAAATCTGTCCAGCCATACGGAGTATTTAGATCTCACAGGAAACAACTTCACTACTTTGAGAAATACCTCTTTTGAACATCTGCCTAACTTGAAAACATTGAACCTAAGAAGCTGTCATATCGATCACATTGACGGACAAGTGTTTGCCGTTTTGGGAAATTTGCAGAAATTAACAATGAGTGAGAACAGAATCAACATCTTACACAAAAGGTTCGAACATCTACGGTTTCACCAAAACCCCTTACTGACACATCTAAATTTATCCTACAATACCAAGGTAAAGCTACAGAACACGGTGCCAAGTGTGTATCCTGACGAAGTATTCGGATCTCTGACAAGTCTTCAAGTACTCACCATGGACCTTCTACCCAATCCGGTGTTCGGGGAAGGTTTCAGCAATTTGACGAATATCACATCATTGATGTTTAGGGAATGCGCAATCCTGCATCTGAAGAATGATACATTCCAATATTTCCAGAACTTAACCAAACTGACGTCCTTGGAGATGTCCAATTGTCAGGTTCACATCTTACCTTGGGTAAAAGTGGAGACAGCAGTCCTTCAATACTTCCATACTCTACAATATCTTGATCTGTCAGGGACTATGATAACATTTCCTGTTGCCCTGGATATTTTGTATGGACTTACCGTTACAACAAACCAGAGTCATCCTGTGAGGAAAATGAAACTTTTAAACTTATATAATGTGAATCCATTGAAACTGCTATGGATGTATGATGTTAGCTATACGGTAAAACTGACCAAGGAAATGACTAAGTATTACAAACACTTATGCATTGAGGATGTAAACATTGGTAAAAACGGTATTGTAGAAGTGGACGTAGACTCGATAGAAAGTTTTATTGATAATTCCTGCTTGAAACGTTTTGTGATGCGTGAAAACAATTTTCTATTTACTTTTCCGAAATTTATGTTTGCTATTGTGAGATTTCTTGTACAAGCTGTAAATCTACAGGAAATTGATTACTCATATATTGCAATACAGTTCTCAGATGTGTCAGGAAATCAGTTCCCAAACGTCGTTGGAGGTGTATATGATCGACACCTGGCTAATAATGTCTTTGATCCGGAAACCACACGACATTTATCATTGAGCGGACGAGAAAGGTATCGATGTATGCTTCCAATTACATCAAATCACTTAAGTCATGTTTGTATATCCCATCTGATGTTTCCATTTTCAATACTCTGTGACATTGATGTGTCGATGCTGCCAATGTTGACTTATCTGGACATGTCGTACATGACTATTGATGATATGGACTTTAAAATTATTGGGGCTAAACTTTCGTACTTTGACGTTTCCGGAATGGATTTCGGTCACTCGGGTAGTAGACTTTTAGGAAATCTCGTAGGTGTCAAAAGACTAATGATTCGTGACGCAAATCTGGATAGAGCGTTCAGCAACGGGAATTATATTTTCAGAAACGCGAGTCGTATAGACGAACTGGATATGTCCTTAAACCATTTGAACAGCTTACCAAACGAAACACTCGAGGGCCTTGAAGATCTTCAGAAATTAAATTTGTCCTGGAATTTCATGAAAAAAATTCCTCCTGGATTATTTAAGATGAATAACTTATCCCATATTGACTTGCGATATAACAAATTGGTATTTTTAGATAAGGTTACGACAGACTGGTTGGATAACAGGGCCGATAGGTCTGAATCTGGTGTTACTGTGTTATTGGATGGGAATCCTTTCACATGTACATGTGACACGGAGGATTTCGTTTCGTGGATTATACTGACAAAAGTTAAGTTACAACAAAGAGAACCAGCAAACTTCACATGCACTTTAAAAGATGGTTCTATTTCTAACATAAAATACGTCTACGATAGTCGGGACGATGTTTTCAGAAATTGTAACGATCATCTGTTCTGGTTACAATTTTCCATATCGGCGATTAGCTTAGTAATTTTGGCGATAGTGTGTGCTACCATCGGTCACACGTTCAGGTGGAGAATATTGTACTTCTTTTATAGGAACTGTAAAATCAAACCCGGCATGGAGGACACCACTTCGTACAGTTATGATCTATTTGTTGCATACACTGCAGCAGATTCTCCGTGGATCTGGCAACAGTTGAGACCTACACTAGAGCTTCAACATAGCATACCTTTGTGTTTACATGAGCGCGACTTTGAAGTCGGAGAATCTATTTCTCAAAACATTGTGAACTGTTTACAAAAGAGCAAGAAGATATTATTCGTGATATCGCCAGAGTATATTGCAGCAAGGTGGTGTGACTTTGAACTTGAAATGGCTAATATGGAAAGGGTACAGCGAGGGTGTACTAACTCCATCATTGTAGCTATCAAAGGCGACATCCCGGCGGATCACATGCCCCGCCCTATCATGAACATCTGGCAACATGTCACCTGCATCATATATCCGCTCGATGAGACAGATAGAGACGCTTTTGAGTTATTCTGGTGTCGACTACGGCATAGCATTGTGTCGTAGCATTACTTGTTCTGTTTAGTGACTTGATGTGCCTTTTCTCTTTTAGAAGATAAATGGATGGTATTTCGAAATAGTACACAGGAATATATGTATAGACACAAGGGGAGTTATATATTGTGACATCCTGTGCGATAACTCTATGAAGTTTATTATATTATTATCAAACTTGTCATATGTTTATTTTAGAAACAATTATATTTTGATATTCTTTAGCGTCTTGTGCATATTGACATTTCTGAGTCTTTATGAAAAGCTTTATACACTCGTCGATCATGATTTGAACAAAACTGCAGCAGTAAGTTAGCATAATTGTAATACTTATTTCTAAAGTAGCTGATGAATTAACTAAAGTTGTTTGTAAGGCATGTGCTATGTACTGTGGTATTGATAATGAAATAATCACTAACTAGATTGATAAGACTGCGGTTTGATCATTATAATGTCACAAACTTTTAGACATACCAATGAGAGGGTTATTTGGACAGATAAAACAATATGCCGATATTGGCAGTGTGGTACTCTGTAGAGCCACATCAAGGAGACGTATATTGACCTCATTCATCCCTGAAATTTTACAATGAACTATTCCCAGAAAAATCAGTGCCATGAGATATGTTAGTACAAGGGGATTGGGAAGGGGGACTATTTAGTCGTCAATGCGTCTAGAAAAATTAGTATTGCATACTCTCAAGTTAGATCAGGATAACGAATATATGTTTCTCAAAAGTGATATACTATCCAATCAATGGCAGCGAGATAGTGGACATTGTAAACGTAATGGCTACATGGTGGCTCAACGGGGGGAAATGTCGGCAAGATATGGGCGGATTGGTCGAGTGGTTAACACTCCGGCTTTCCAAGCAGGAGGCAGTGGTTCGATCCCCGAAGTCGCCGTACGCATGGAATATTCAGACAAAGTGTTTTCCTCCTGCCCACACAACTTCAACAACCCAGGTGGAGTATAAAATGGTCTGGGGTGGATGTTGCGGTATCTGTGCTGTAGCATTCAAGTGAGGTGGCGCTATAAATGATACCGTTGGAAGCACGGTCCCACTACAAACAGAACACAATACATCTCCAGCACGCACACTGGCATACACACATAAGGAGATATTAGCCAGGTGGCATATGACTTGTAGTAAGCGCCTGATAAGGCAGCTCCTGCGAATTCCTCAATATTGTATTGATTAATATGTATGCTAATTGTATTGACTGTATAAACTTGTATATCTACGTACTGTAAAGCGATTTAGAGTGGCTTTTGTTAGCTAGAAAGGGTGCTATATCAAATGTTGTATAGTTATTTATTTTATTTATATGAACGAACCGGAAGTGTAAAGTGGCACACTGAAATTATGATGGCTAGGTTGTAGGAAAACGTGCAAAGTGTTCGCAAAATACAATGTAGTGAGAAAACCGGAATAGTGGTACATTTTACTATAGCTAAAGGGCAACAGGAAATTAAGATGGCTGGATAATGGGACAACCTGAAATGTATTTGCTGGATAATGGGACAACCATAAATTAGGATGGCAAGATAAAGGGACAATCATCAATTAATATGGCTCGATAATGGGACAAACTGAAAAGTATTGGCTAGATAAATGGACAACTATTAAGTATGATGGCTAGAGAATGGTACAACGATGGGAATAATGATGGTATAAGAATGGTACAACCATAAATTAGGATGGCTAGGTACTTGGACAACCTGATATTATTATGGCTAGATAATGGGACAACCATAAAAATTAGGATGGCTAGATAATGGGACAACCTGAAAATACGATGGCTAGATAATGGGACAACCTGAAATTATGACGGCTAGATAATGGGACAACCTGAAATTAGGATGGCTAGATATTGGGACAACCTGAAATTATGACGGCTAGTTAATGGGACAACCTGAAATTAGGATTGCTAGGTAATGGGACAATCTGAAATTAGGATGGCTAGATAATGGGGCAACCTGAAAAATGTTGACTAGATGGAGGGACGATCAGAATAATAACCGATGTTTGATACTGATTTGCTGTATCTGTGTTGATTTTTAGATTTTTTTTGTTATGTCTTATTTCGGTGATGACCAACACGTTTTCTCGATGTTACATGGTACCTTATGACGAACGTCATTGGTTACGTACAAACCGCTTATCCTTAAGGAACATCTGGATCAAGAAGGGTTTATTTCTTGACGTACCGAGATGTCGTTCAATGCTGATGTGTTCTGTTTTCGTACGTGCGTGAGTGTTTGGCGGTATGCGCACGTACGTGTCTTTTATATTGCATACAATTGTCATAATAACCAATATTTGTTTATATTGTTCATAAAGAACATGAATGCATCATTTGTCTGAGGTTTCATAAAAAAAAAAAAAAAAAAAAAAAATTGTGTGTTTTTTACAATTTCTTTTCTGTCTCAAATTAAGAGAAAGGGGTAAGAATTTGTGAACAATAGTACAGATTTTTATCAGAAACAGAAATTTAACTCGAGGCTTTATTTATTTTAAGGGAGAAACGTAAACGTAAGGGGGACTTAATCCAAGAACACTAAAAATGTGTTCATATGAAATACAGCTTAATCTCTATTTTTACAGTAAAACATATTTGTTTGACTTAATTTCCCGCGTTTATGTAATGTTATGAGAATCACTTCACTTAATGATGTCATGCTGGCGACATGTACGCCAAGCTTGTAATCAGTGAAGCTATATCCGGTCGGATTCTTACATCCACTGTGTAAGACAGAGCTAAAATATTCGGGTACTCGTAACAAGATTCCTGGTCAGTTGAAAGTATGTGTTCACCCTTTCTTTTACGCTGAAAGATTCCTGATTGCAGTTTCCTAGAAACAGCTGGTAATTATCATTAACGTGACGCAGTATGGCAATGGAACCGTTTGGTAACACGCACGTGTAGTTGTTATGATGGTCGAGCATGACACTTGTATCGCAAATCCAAAAAACGAACTCCATTGTATCGCACGTGCAGGCAAAGGGATTCCCATACATCAAAATCCTAATATTACGTTCGGACCTCGAGTTCATAAGATCCAGCCATGTCCTTGCTTTCTTCCTAAGATAAGTTATTTTATTGTTCCTCAGATCTATGTCAGTAAGATTTGGCAAAATATACAGGCCTGCAGGGAAATCATTGAAAAAGTTCCAAGACAGGTCTATATGTATTACCCCTTCCAAGCCCTGCACGCTTTCCTCTTCTAGGATGCTTAAATGATTTGACGATATGTCTACCTCATCCAGTTGCTTTATATCCTTGAAAATGTAATTCTTATTATTGAAGGCACGATCTAAATTGGCATTCTGAATGACCAGTCTATGCATCCCTTCCATATTACCGAGCAGCATCCGTCCTGATGTTGCAAAATCCATACCTGAAACGTTCATATACTCTACCCGTACTCCTCTTATACGAAAATCTGTACTTGAAATAGTTGTGTGTGATATGTCAAGCAGATACAATGTAGGAGACCTAGACATATCCAGATCACAATCAATGAAAAATGGAAAGAGCAGATGTGTTAAGCGTACGAATCGCATATGTGCTCCCAGGCTGACGCGCATCACACATCGAAACGGAGACTGTCGTTGAGGTTCTGGTAAATAACGTAATTCTTTCCCATTCACCTTCGGACCTTCCTTGATCCCATGTGCAAATTTGATGGCGACATATGAATAATCAAATTCTTCTAGATTTTCCCCCTCTCCAAAAAATATCAAAAAACTTAGCGAAAAACGAGGAAATTTGAACAAGAAGTTGTTCTCTGAGAACGAAATTCGCCTTAAACAACTGAAATTGACAAAGGATTCCTTGATAATTTGAAAGGATTAACATTATATAGATTCAGAACTTTCATTTTTCTGACAGAATGACTTTGATTGGTTGTAGCTGTGAGACCGTACAAAATTTCCATGGCAACCGGAAACGTTATCGAAGTACGAGAAAGATCCAGGTATTGCAGGGACGAGAAATGTTGTAAGAAAGCTTTTTCTATTTTCACAACATATGTGTCATTAACGTGGCAATTTGACATGTCCAAATATGTCAACGATTCCAGATCATGAAAGTTTATAAATGTATCGTTCTTAAGATGCATTAATGTACAGTCCTTAAAAACTAGTTTGTTAAGCTTTGTCATATTGCCGAACCCTGTTCCAAAGATAGGATTCGGTAGAAGGTCTACATGAAGTTCCTGAAGAGACATCAACGATGCGAACACTGAGTCTGGATACAAGGCTTCTGCGTCTAATGGCAAATTAACATTGAAGGATAAATCCAAATATTTGAGTTTGGTATTGAGGGTAAAACGGATTTGACTAAACGTTTGTTGTACAATGTTGATGTGGTTGTGTCCAAGTGATAAGTCCTGCAGTGACGGAAGTCCAGAAAACGTGTCTTTACCGATGAATTTTATTTCATTCCAGTTCAAATTTAAAGATTGCAAGTTAGGAAGGTTGAAGAATGAGGATTTGTCTAGAAATGATAACTTGTTTCCAGATAAATCTAAGCCTTCGGTGAGATTCGACAAGTGTGGAATATGATCGAAACCACGGTTCGAACAATCGACCATTCTCTTGTCGGTTGATATTTACATGTGTAAGTGGGCGTGTGTAAGTATATGGGCGTCAACTTCTGTAAGTAGAGTGGGCGTGTTCGTATGAAAGTGGAAGGGTGTGAATAGAGTTTACGCAACGAGTGTCGGTTGATTAACATGTTTATCTAACTAACGAGAGTTAGATAAAAATGTTAATCAACCGACACTCGTTATGTAAATTGTTTCTACCACTATTTTGTCCAACTGACGGATGCTGGCTGGCTGTACTTGTTTACATGCACCCATTTGATACGCGTAGTAATATTTACAAGAGTGTGGTAAACTCATTGATATTCAAAACACGAAGATTAATTTTAAAGCGCCATGAAACATTTATTTCGTTCCACAAAACAAGAATGTATCGATAATGTACATTTGATGATGTAACAACGAATAAAAACAATCGAAAGTTTCTGTTGCAATATTTCCGCGGAGGCTCTTCCGCGCCGGAAAAGGGCGTGATAAGGCCGCCTAGTCCATGTAGCTATAAATAGTGACAAACAAAGTTTATATTGGCAGGGATTCTGGAAAAGAATGTTCTTCTTTATTCACTTTCGTCAGAGTACAGCACTCGTGGTCGTGTTGGTACAGCATGGTTTATTTTAATGTGAAATGTTCCACTATATATTGGTCCTTTGAAAAGACAGAGGTTGCGTTAATCTGTCATCGTTAGAGTGGATGAGCTGTTTGATTGTCAACTCGAAGCCACAATCGCACCTGGATCCTGCTGAATGTGTGCATCTCATGATTGACCAGCTGAGGTGTTGTTGGATGTGAAATATGATATCGTCTTGTGGTGTTTGGTGGTAAGACTGGAGTAGGAGTTAATGCTTTGGATGTTGTGATGACTTGAAATCTAGAATATGATTCGATGATAAGTTCAGTGATTTGGGCTATTTTGTGCAAATTTTGATTAGATGAGATCGATTGGATTAATTGTGATTGGATTTTATAATTCTTAATACTCAGGTAAGTCACTATCTTCAATCAGTTTTGACTAGAATCTAGATTATTGTTAGTTGTGTGATTTGTTAATTAATAGCTGTCTACTGGAGGCCTACTATCAAGATAAATCTACCTGCATTATTTGATTCGGGGGTACGCCACTGTCATTCAACTTATGTACTAGGTATTTTCGTGTACTATGGTTTGTTAGGCTTTTTGCCGGCGCAGCAGTCGATCCAGATTTTGACCCCGTCAGACCTGAAAATAAAATTCATTACAGGCAACTCCCAACTTGTGCTTGCAATTGACTGAATCACGGAACTTGAATCAATGTATTGACCAATTTCAACTCTTGTAATGCCTTTTTTTATGTAAATTAGGCCTATATTACTCAAATAGAGTAATATGTTGTGCATTTGTACATATCAGTTCTGCAAAAGCTATTCGAAAAAGTTATATATCAGAGGTTAACAGTTCGATGTGCTGAAATGCAGTTTCCGCATAGACTACAACAGGGATTTAGAGTGGAATGTGGAAGTATTATGGCAGCGTTTACTGTCAAGGAATCGATATGTCATTATATCGAAAATAGGACAAAGGTATTTGCTGCCTTCTTGGACAATGCAAAAGCATTTAACAGTGTATGGATAGACGGGTTATTACATAAGGTGTACCGACTCGGTTTTAATGGTAAATTTTGGAGAATACTGCAAAATTCGTTTCAAAACGTGACCTCGCGTGTACTGTATGACGGCAAAATTAGCAAAGACTATCCAGTTAAGCAAGGGGTCGGTCAAGGGAGAACTTTATCAGCCTGGCTATTCCTCGTTATGATAAACGGTCTCGCACGTGCTCTGGATGAAGCGGAACAGGGTTTACAGATTCAAAAGCTACATATCCCCTGCATATTATTAGCTGATGACACGCTCTTATTAGCTGGAAGCATCACGAATCTCCAAGCTCAACTAGATATCGTAAATGCGTATTCTAATCTTTGGAGGCTAAATTATAACTTTGCTAAATCTTCGCTGATTGAATTTTCATATAAGAGACGAATCGTCAATAAACCATCAACTGTATGTTCTCTGGGGGCGCGTTTATCGAATGGACTGATACAAAGGTTTACGCGGGAATAACTTTTTGTTTAAACCTAAAAGCTGATGTCGGTATAGAAAGCGCGTGCGACAAAGGTAGAAGGAACCTGAACAGTCTAATGAGTGTTGGTATCCATCCAGGCGGATTAAATCCTCTCAAAAGTGCGCAACTCATTAAAGCAATTATCATACTAGGTGTTATATACGGATGTGAACTTGGCGCAAATGCTACGCAGAAGTCCATTGATATGTTAAATAGAACCATGCGGTATGCTGCACGAAGATGCCAGGGTTTTGAGAAAAATTCGTCGTCGGCCATAACTACCGGAGCTATTGATTTACCTGATGATTTATGGTCTGATGTAGAAGTCAGAAAACTGTACCTAGGAACAAACTTTGTAATGCTAAATGATCTTTTGTCTGGAAATCTCTATTTATTATTCGCTTATGTACATTCATGTTCACCTCACAATCGTTTCAAAACGTGAGCTTCATCGTAGACATTTTCCATACAATGGTGAAATTTCACATCGAGACATTCTTTTTCGAGTTTGTTTTCTCTGGTGCGTGCTGTAGAGAGTTTCAGTGGAAATCGTTTATTAAGAAAGTCACAACAAACTATTACTATGATGTATGGTGTAAAATGTGCAGAAACCGTCCCGATCTGTTATATTATAGGGCAGTTTATCAATATATTGGACCCAATCCCTTATGGTCTCTAACGTTGAAATTTCCTAAAAGCACATGGAATGTTCATTTATTACCATGTAATCTCTTATCAGAGAAAATAAATAAAGAATGTCTGTCTGCCTGTCTGTCTGTGTACATGGATGGGTGTTTACGTGTGCTATTGGAGGGAGTATGTAATGTAAGTGGAAGGAATGTGAACGAGAGTAATTAGGGATATATAAGTGTGTATATTGGTAGGGGTTGTGAACGTGGAGGGGTTTGTACATGTGTACGAGTAGGGAATGTGTAAGTAGAAGGGCGTGCAGTTGGAGGGTAGTGTATTGTACGTGTGTAAGTGTAGGGGATTTGCACTGTGTAAGTTGAGAGGATATATACGTGTATAACCAAAGGGGATGTGTTCGTGTGTAAGTGAAAGAGGTGTGTACGGGGTAATGGAGGGGCGTGTACATGTGTAAATGGAGGGTCATCTACATGTGTGAGTTGATGGGATGTGCATGTGTGTAAGTGGAGATATGTATACATGTTTATATGGAGGGTGAGTAAACGTGTGTAAGGTTTAAGGGCGTGTACGTCTGAAAGTGGAGGAGGCGTGTACGTGTGTAAATTGATGATGTGTGAACATGTGTAAGTGGAGGGGATGTGTACGTGTGTAAGTTGAGGGACTTAAACGTGTGTAAGTTGAGGGTTGTGTACATGTGAAAGTGGAGGGTTATGTACATGTGAAAGTGGAGGGTTGTTTACATGTGAAAGTGGAGGGGATGTTTACATGTGTAAGTAGATGGGCGTTAACTTCTGTAAGTAGAGGAGGGGTTTACTTGTGAAAGTGGAGGGGTGTAAAGATATGTCAGTGGAGAGATGTATACATGTTTATATGGAGGGTGTGTAAACGTATGTAAGGTTAAGGGGCATGTACGTGTGTAGGTTAAGGGGCGTGTACGTGTGTAGGTGGAGGGTTGTGTAACTGTGTGTAGGTGGAGGGCTGTGTAACTGTGAAAGTGGATGGGTTGTGTACATGTGTAATTGGAGTGGGTGTGTGTACGTGTGTAATTGGAGGGGGTGTCCGTGTGTAAGTTGAGGGGATGAGTACATATGTAAGTGGAGAGGTTATGTAGGTTTTTAAGTGAAGGGGTTATATACATGGGTACGTGTTTATGTGTAGAGGATGTGTACGTGTGTAAGTGGAGGAGCGTGTACATGTGTATGTGAATAGGTGTGGAGGGTTGTAAATGTATGTAAGTGTAGAGGGTTTACGTGTGTAAGTTGAGGGTTGTGTACATGTGAAAGTGGAGGAATGTGTATGTTTGTAAGTGTAGGGAATGTGTACGTGTGTAAGTGGAGGGTTGTGTACATGTTTAAGTGGAGGGTGTGTACATGTTTAAGTGGAGGGTTGTGTACAACAGTAAGTGAAGGTAATGAGTAAGTGAGTAAGTGGAGTGGGTGTGTGTACGTTTGGTTACGATTCGTACCTGTGTAAGTGGATGGAATGCGTATATGTGTAAGTGGAGGAGGTGTCCGTGTGTAAGTTGAGGGGATGAGTACATGTCTAAGTGAATGGGGTTGTAGGTGTGTTAGTGGAGGGGTGTATATGCGTGTAAGTGGAGGGGGTTTACGTTTGTAAGTTGAGGGAATGTGTATATGTGTAAGTGAAGGGAATGTGTATATGTGTAAGTGGAGGGGATGTGTATAAGTGTTAGTGGAGGGGATGTGTAAGGGTGTAAAATGAGGGGTGTATACTTGTGTTAGCGGAGGAGATGTGTACGTTTGCAAGTAGATGAACGTCTACGTGTATGAGAGGAGGGGCGTGTACGTGTGTGGGTGGAGTGTGTGTGTATTATGTGTATGTGTGTAAGTGGAGGGAATTGGTATATGTATAAGTGGAGGGGATGTGTACATCTTTAAGTGAAGGTTGTGTGTAATTGTGTTAGTGGAGGGGCGTATACGTGTGTAATACGAGGGTATGTGTGCATGTGTAAGTGAAAGGGATGTGTACGTTTGTAGATGGAGGGAATGTGTACGTGAGTGTATAAGTGGTGGGGATATGTGTATGTTAGTGGAGGGAATGTGTATAAGTGTAAGTTGAAGGGGTGTTTACACGTGTTAGTTGAAGGGATGTGTGCGTGTGTAAGTAGAGGGGCGCCAACTTCTGTAAGTAGAGGGGGCGTTTACGTGTGAATGTGGAAGGGTGTAAATTTGTGTAAGTGGAGAGGATGTGAACATGTGTAAGTAAAAGGAGTATATAGGTGTGTT